CTTGCAACCTACTGGCGAGAACTGTCTGCGCATGCAATCACGTGCTCGGTCATAAGGGTAACGGATTGACAGAATGAGAGCTAGAGTAGAGAGAGGGAGGCTGACATGAAAGCATGCATAGTTCAAACCGGACACCTGCGTAGGACACAGACATTGGACTCGACAACGGAGCACAAGAGACTCGTGTCGATGTCGAGACTGAATGAACTAATGATCCTTGGACCTTGAACGGCGAATACACGGCTAGGTCCGTCCCAGGTACTAGGTACGATCCGAGAGCGACGAGCAACAACGAAAAGAACATTCGCTTGCTGCTATAAAATGTGTCATTGCCAGAGCTCAGTTTTAGACCAGTGAGCTCCATTCCCAAACCGAATCACTTTTTCAGACGTTCTTTGTCCCACAGAGTTTGGCTTCCTGAGTCTCACTAGAAATTCAACGACCTCGTAATTGAGAGAAAATAAATCAAGGATTGGTTGCAGCCATCTTCACCGGAAGACAGACTGAGTAATGGTGAGTTTGTGTTCAAGACTGACTAAGGACGTAAGTGACGTTACACCCGATAGCAATACTGCACAATTGGAGAATGGGCTACTACTAGCACTAGTGTTGTGGACATAATTATGTGAGTCAGTTACTGTTAGTAAGGAGGCTGGCGTGCATTTGTGTGTACATGTATGACACGTGAGTGTGTGCGTGTGTGTGTGTGTTTGTGTGCGTAGAAGTGCTAGCTAATGTGTATGTGTGTGTGTTTGCGTGTGTACATTTGTGTGTGTGCCGCGTGTGCGTGTGTGCAGCATGCTGTCTATACGGGATACCTCAGCAAGTGTACGATGTGCATAGGTAACTGTCTTGCCCATCCTATCTCTCCGTGTGGTGTAGAGCAGGTGTGCATTCCGGGGTCGATTTACATGGCTTCCCCAGTTGTGTGGATTGCCCAGTTATCTTGTGCTAGTCTTGATCCACTATCGTTGCTATGAGAGAACATCTGTGCGTGCACATCCAGTGTATTTGCAGATTTCCGTGCTTCTCTTGCCACGGGCATAGGCATGGTACATGGTACAGTACATCGTGTGTGTGTGTTCAACTTTGTGTGTTTTTGTCAGCCAAGCACTCGTGTCCACACTCTGTTTTTCCTCGTGCACACACCCGCGGTGATTTACAAAAAATCATATACCAGCCTGGTTTCTGGCAAATCCCAAATTGCCCAATATAATATTATTATTTTGATCTAATTTTTAAAAACGTGTACTTCACAGTACAGTGAGCATGAGGTGCTAAACATTTTTTTCTATGATTGCAACACAACTCACACAATGAAAACAATTCCATGAAGGGTGGAATGTGTTAAGGAACGAGGACCCTAATGCAGCCTAATTATTCGATGGGAGTACCGAGAAAGAAGAAGAAAGGCATACCCCACAGCTACCCTCTCATAGAAAGGACATTTGCTACGAGAAGTGACGTGACATCATGCCACCTAGCAATGTCAAACTGTGATTACATTACTGCTGGATGTTGGTGCGTGTTGTTATCAAAGATGAAGTCTATTCATTGTTCCGCTGATTATTTGGTGAACATTTCAAATGATTTTTCTGCACCAAAGAGACCTTGATTTGAGTGCTGGAGTGGAGGACACAGAATATGAACATGGCTGCAATGGAGTATTAGTGTTTGTATTTATGGATTATCCACAGGCCTTAGCCTAAATCGAGGGAGTCTCCGTGCGGGAGTCCATGAGCACTTAGAAAAGATGGTGTAATGGTGATTTCCACTACGGTACCGTGAGTGCCGTGCCGTGAGTACCCACGGTGATTTGCTCACGTGAGGGGCAGTTTTGGCGCGAGTTCATTCCGTGGCTCCTGCTGTACCGCGCCGTGGACATTCCAATGCCGAGGGCCTCTGGGGGGGGGGGGGGGGGGGGGGGGTGGAAATGGCATGCCGTGGTATTCCGTGAGGTCGAATGCAGTGAGTAGTAGGTATTTTACTACTCCCTGAAAGGAAGTTTTTTCTTTCTTTTGTATTTGTGGTACGAAGTTATTTCTTGGCTTTTCGATTGTTTGATTTTTGAGCTTTCTCCAGTCATCTCCCCCGCTATTTTCCCTCAAAACCATAGTCAGAAATTGATAAAAATGGTGATCCGGCCTGCCGACGGAATGCACGGAATGACTGTGCGCAGGTGTAAATCACTCTCAGCTTCAAGCTCGTACCGTAGGGTACACGTGACCCACCCAAATCGTCGGCACGGCACTCACGGTACCGTAGTGGAAATCGGCCCTAAGGAAATATTGACCAGCCCCATGGTACCCGTGTTTTCTCCGCTTGTTTTCCAGGTGAAGAACGCATCCACCATTTTCACGTCAAGCCACGTCGCTGGAGCAAGAGCGCAAGTCCTATCGTCTCGTCATGGCGATGGGTACACAGTGTGGGAGCGGCGCCAGGGATTGCTCACTGCTGCAGTTAGTCACGGTCATAGCACTGCTGTATCCAGTTATCGGCCAGGGCCAGGATCTGGAATTTGTAAGTAGGGTTTCATAAAACACATTGCATGCATGCACATATAATCACCCACATGTTCATGCACATATAAACACCCACATGTTCATGCACATATGAACACCCACATGTACATTCACATATGAACACCCACATGTTCATGCATATATACTGTTAAATCCCGCCAGAGCGCCCCGTCTCTCCCTTCCGCCCCTCCCTGACTTCTTGTTAGGGAAGTGATTGATTGTATCCTCGTATGACTCTGTGATGCCGTACTGTACTGCAGACGCGTGCTCGACCCCGTTGGAAATGTACGCAACAGTGCCCACCCTCTCGACCAAGGGATCGCACAAACCCTGAGTTTTGATGGGTCTGTACGACTCCTGGCTCTTGACCTTTGGTCGATGTACGAGATGCACGAACAGTTTTCGTAGGGTGAGCCCTCTTTTCATGTTGTCCTGAATGCGGCAAGTAGGACTTGCCCATCCGCTCCTCCCCACCTGAACCTACTCGAAGC